AATCTCACTCCTAGTACTTAGTCTAGCTAAACCTGTAGATAGATTCTCTCTTCTACAACGCATCCAGAGATCTCCAGTTTCATCTACAGCTTCATTTGTAGACTGAATATCATCTCTCTCACCCGCCAAGCCCTCGCTTGCAACATTATGACCCCTTTCGCTGTGGGATTACAAAGCCCTAGCGGTTGTAATCCCTGCTGAGGCCAAGTGCTTGGCCCAAGCGCCGACGTGCGGCTGCCTCAGGCATCGAGAGTATGCAAACCCTGCAAACCTCTCGGGAACACACTAGGCCATGCATGGTATCACGTGACTATTTTCTTATCAATCAGATCAGATAAGACGTCCATGCTCTTCCTAGAGGATTCTTTCCGAGTTTCCCCACTAATTTTCTCTGGTCCTCCTTTTCCCACGTCCTTTGTCCTATTCCCCTTGGCAAATTTCATTGCAGGGTGCAATAAATCTCTTTTTCTGACCCCATTCTCCGGGGCTTTTGGTCTGACGAGATCGAACGGTCCGACGGCTCAGAGACTTCGTTGATCCACATGGGCCCATCTGATCACTGCGATTACCGGGTCACTGTAGGTGCTCCTCGTTTTCTTTTGAACCGTTCCTTCGTCCACCCTCGGATGTGCCTGTGATTTGGGGACTCGTTATGTTGTTCCGGTGGTTGGTAGTCGCTTTCGCGCAGGGTGTCAGGGCCAACCTCGAGGAAGAACGGTGTGTGACGGCTGTTTACACGGCATACAACTACATCTCGTTTGATGGCCTTGCTACAAAAGTCAAAGGAACATGGGAATCAAAATGTCGGAATCCACTCAAAGTCGCATCGATATACGCCGCATCCGAGATGTATTGCAATGAGCGAGAACGGGCAGTGGGCCTGGCCCAGCTGGCCGACCAGTGCCAAGAATTTGGGAATCTAGAGCTGCTGCCGAGAGAAGCGGTTGCCGATAATCTGACAGAGGATGCAATAAGAAAAATGACAACGGTCGACTATCAAGATTTGTCGCGAGGCAGATCAGTAAATGTGCCTGTTCTGCTTTCTCCATCTTACTTTGATCTGATGTTTAATACGCTTGTAAGACCTTTATGATGTCCTTGGAAGACAAAAGTCCGAAAGCTTATTGGTGTTCTAGGATTCTTGGGCATTTGAGACTTGGTCGCATCATGCATTTGGGTAGGTCGGTTCAAGCTGGCAAGCACAAAATCCATTTATTGACCAATCAGTTATATTGGCTACGCATATTGGGGTGGCATAATGTCACTGGGGATGATTTATCGCTTGAGTGATTGGTTATTCCACCGCCCACAACGTCGTACAGAGCGTGCACTTGAATCCAACGTGTATCCCTTCACTAAATTGTTAAAACAGGTTCCGTGGGTGGGAGCGGGTCTTCAATGGATCCAGACTCACCTGATCATTCCCACCCCTTTAGCAACAACACACGGGCGACGCCTGCTAGGCTTCACATTCTCCACCAGAGTCGAGGCGCTCATAGTCGTGGGATTCTGGATGATCAGCATCTTGTTGAGTGTTGTGGGCTATCGCACATTTCCTGGAAATATTTAGTAGGTGCTGAGCTAGCCGGAGTGAGGTGTGGAAAAATGCTGACAGATGGTCAAGCTGGCCCGATGTGCCAAGCCAGATTCTGCGTTATTCTGCAGACCGCACTGGGATCATGTCATTTGCGAATTTGCCCCTTTTATGGCTCTTTGGGGGACGAAACAACATCTTCCTGTGGTCCACCGGATGGAGCTTTGCAACGTTTAACCTATTCCATCGTCATGTGGCCCGGGTGGCTACTGTACAGGCAATTGTGCACTCTGTCCTATACGTTGTGATTTTTATTCAAAGTGAGTACTGAGCCCTTGATTTCTAATGCAGGTTAGAATACTTATAGTTATTGTGAACCGCAGCGGGCAAAGTTTGGAGGAATATGTCCAAGACCTATGTTTTGTGGGGTATTTTGGTAGGCTGCCATTCCGACTGATCTTCAAGGTGGTCGATTTTTAATGCTCGTGTCATATCAGGGCACATTCGTGATGATTCTCCTATTGATCACCTCCTTGGATCGAATTCGTATTGCCACATATGAGCTCTTCTTGATCGCTCATGTTGTTCTTTCCATTCTCACTCTTATAGCGTGCTTTTAGTAAGGAGCTCAGCCCAACACAATTTCCGCATAAAGATCTAACGATTGACAGCCACACGGTCGTATTTGAAGGGAATGAATACTGGAAATACCTATGGCCCTCGGTAGCGATATGGGTTATTGATCGCTTCCTTCGAATTGTGCGACTGTGTTACTGTAACCTGCACGTGAGTGTTTCAAGCAGACGACTTGTCAAGGTTTCTGAGAGCTGCATGGTTTACGACGAAACGGCCGACGTGGTGCGGTTGGAGGTCAGACCAGGAATGCCTTTGCTCCAACCCTCACCAGGACAGTACTACTTTTTATACCAGCCGTTTCGGTTCTCGGGTTGGGAGAGTCATCCGTTTACTGTCGGGGCTTGGTCTTACGAGATAGGGGATCGGACGTCATTGGCACCGCCATTCGAGGGAAATCTGATTAAATCACTTGACGTTTCGAATGTGCCTCTTCTTGCAGGCGGTGCCTCCGACCGAGATTACCAAGGCAACTCCGAAAGTGGCTCTTCGGGTGAAAAAGAATTGTCGAAGTTGAAATTGACTTTCTGGGTCCGCCCATATGACGGTTGGACAAAAAAGTTGCGGCAGCAATGTCTGAGCTCACCGGCCAAGACAAGCGAAACAACTATCCTCCTTGAAGGCCCTTATGGAGACACTTTTCCACTATGGAGGTATGAATCGGTCTTATTTCTTGTCGGTGGGACTGGAATAGCGTCAGCTGTACCCTATATTCAAGATCATCTCCGCCGATCTGTCGAAGAATGGAATGGAAGGCTTGGAGATGAGAAAACATGCGTACGGGACATGGAGCTTGTTTGGACTGCTAAACAAGCGAGATTTATTCGAGATGTATCTCGTCGGGAACTGAAAGAAGCCCTCAAACGAGAAGACTTCAGTGCATCTTTCTATGCTATGCGTGATTTCGCCACATCCTCCGAAGATCCAACCGATTTTGGAATCGAAATCCAGTCAGGTCGACCTAACCTTCAATCCCTGATCATAAGCCGGGCCAGCGAAACATGCTCAGCTGGTACTAGCCTTGCGATCCTCGTATGTGGCCCACCAAGAATGGCGGATGAAGCGCGCGCCGCGACACATCTTGCGATGCGACAAGGCTACCGCTCTATCAAATTCGTGGAAGAGTCTTTTACGTGGTAGGCAAGGGGCTTTATTAAAGCTTTGTGGTGTATCTACGACGCCATGCATATGTACTGTCAAATTTTGTAAATGTTTTGAAGGCCAGAACTTGACCTTTTCCTTGTTAGATGGGCATCCAATGGATTTAGATTTCCTATAGTAGGTTTCTTCGGACTCCAGAGGACCACTGAAGTGTGGTTCGACCTATCGATCTGGGGAAGCAGATGTAGTTGTTGGTGGCTGACAGGGGTGCGTCAAGCACTACGCATGCGACTATTGATTTAAACTCGGTGATCAAAGGTTCTAAATCGACCTATCGAAGGGTTACGGCGTAGAAACAGAGAACATGGGAAATGGAACATCAAATGATCATGTGTTGGGAAATGATAGATCAGTCATAACGCTTCACTGCCCAGAAGAACCGAGACATCACACTCAGGGCCAAAAGCGAAAAAGGAACAAGAACAAAATAGTGCAACTTCAAAGCCAAAGATCTCAATTAGCAACGCCCACTTTTAGGTTGTCTTAACCTCCACCTGCACCTACCACGCCTCTTCCCGTCCGCGTCTGGGGAACACACCGAAATGGTTTATTGTTCGGCAGAGAAACGTTGAACACATTCATGCATATTCGCACCTCTGGCCGAATATGGATTGCCTGAAAGTTGATAAGTCATGTTTGCTAAGCACTACTCTGCTGGCCAAAGCAAACAATTCACGAAAGCATCCACTTCCCTGCAGTGTTGCGAGCTGAGATGCTGAGAGACAATCGGGAGTTTCTTACCCTTGAAGCATGAACGGTATAAGCGAGAGAGCAGAGAGCAGATTGGAAAACAGAACAGTTATAAAAGATACGACCTTTCCGGCAGTCATTCTTGTCCATCATTTCTAAAGTCATCCACACTCTCTGAATTTACCAACTCTTTTCAATCATTTTCCAACTTCTTCGATATATTCACTAAAATGAAGTTCTTCCTCCCCGCCTTTCATTTCGCTGCTACCGCCATGGCCCTGCCTAGCTCGGGCTCTGCTGCCGGCATTACTCCCCACTCCAACGAGGTTGAGGACGCTGTGAACAAGTGTGGTGATGGTGCTCACATGTCCTGCTGCAACAAGATCAACAAGAATGAGGGTATTAGCCAGAACAACATTGGAGTCCTCTCCAATGTCCTCGGAGCCATTGGTAGCGAGGGTCTCGGTCTTGGCCAGGGCTGCACTCAGCTTGACATCCCAGTCTCTGGTGAGTGATCTGATCTACTCCACGAACTAAAGCGTGAGACTGACCATCTAGCAGTCCTTGGAGCTGCTGGCCTGACTGATTTTCTCAAGAAGAACTGCCAGCAGAGCGTTGCCTGCTGCCAGAACTTCAACTCCCAGGCTGTATGTGCTCCCCCAAACCGATTGAAGAGGAATAGTGTTGCTAAACTCAACAGAATGACAATCTCGTCGGTATCGCCGCTCCTTGTGTCAGCTTCGGCGACCTTCTGTAAATTGCATCTCATTGAATGCATCCTTTTCTGCTATGGAAATATCAACGAGAACCGTCAAACTTGTCAATTTTTGGGGGTCTCCGCGGAAAGGGCTAAAAAAAAGGATACCAGCACGGAGTATATATATGTAAATTTGCAGCACCCGTCAAGGACCTCTATTATCTGGCCTTTTTGGACTAGCGTTCTTATATTTGTGAGATTGCTGTTCTCAAGAGCGGATCAAGCCATTCATTTCAATTCCCTTTTTCACCACTCTCTGGGACTTTTCATCTAGCTAATTTATCTCTGCTAATACATACGGACTTATGCCTTAGAGTCTCTGGGTAGATAGTACTCATTGTGAATTGTTCATAAGGAAAGGACTTGACTCAGTTCACTTTTGTCGATTCATTCGTCCATTGTTTCATTTGATGTATTAGACTTACTGTGAGTGTGTGTCTCAGTTGACGTTGTTGGTTTTTTCTGCTGAAAGGTTTAGGTAAGAGTCTAACTAAACCCCAACTACCATGCCCAAAGTACAAGATTGGATATGAGTTTGATGCGACCGATTTCGAGATATCAGAGCTGTACTACTTTAGCTCTAGCCGGATGGCATCATATTGCACATAAACAGTGACCGGGAGAATGGCAGTCTCTGTATCCGTTGCGTTGAAAGGTAAATGCAATCGCAACACGTTATCTCCGACATGTAACCAATCCACCGGGAACTCCATTCTTGATCCAACCTGGTAGCAGCTCACTGCAGACCGCACAATGCAGCTGCTTGATTGGTTGAACCCAATTCTTAGAGTCAGGGGATCTGTCTGGTTGTTGATGTAACTTTCCAAAGACAAATTGTTGTATGGCTCAACGGGATTCCACACATCCGTGTTGCCTGCTGCAGTCTTTGCGGCTGCTAATTGTAAGGTCAATGTTGCTGTTTTACGACCGTCCAATTGCTTCGAGTTGAGTTCGAAGTGGATGTTCCAGTCGTGGGTTGTGTCATACTCGACGTGGCAATCCTTTGCCGTCGGCCCGAAGACCGACCAATGGGCAGAGTTAAGATCAGTCGCAGGGTCACTAGTACCGACAGTGTAGTTGATGCCATCAGGGAAATCTGCACGCCAATCATAAGCTCCCCAATAGATCAGATATTCGGGAGGATGGAGCGGATGGGTTGGATCCCTCGCATTGCCTCGTCTGAACTCTCCCGACGACTTGTCAGGAATCCCAATTCGCCAAACCTCGGTTCCAGCCGACTCTTGCTTCCAAAAATCATCAATTGCAGTCTGCCTTCCTGCATGAATGGTGATTCCATCGCGCACAAAGTCACCAAAAATGCCCTCTGCGTAGACAGTGAGTCGGTATTTTCCTTCTTTAACCTGGCCAATGCTGAAACTTCCATCCTGATTGATATCAGTCCAGTACTGATAGGAGCTTGGGACGACACTATTATCCTGAAAGTATTGACCGTCGACCGTGAGAACGGCAATTGGGCGAACGGCGCCCTTGGGGAGTTTCACAGTTCCCTTGACACTGCCTCGATGGCTCGAGGGAGCATATCCGACAACATGCTTTGCTATAGAATCGTAGAATGCAGCGTTCCAGTGAGGATTTGCTATTTCTTCTGCCTCCGATCTCAGTTCCTGGAGAGATGCCGAGCCCTTGCCGCCGTTGAAAAGGTAAAATTGCGGACCAAAGGTTCGATCGAATCCATTTGTGATGTTCGGCGTGCCCTCTCCATGATGGTTTGATACGAGATAATTATAAACAATACCGTCCACTGTCAAATCAGAGTGGAGGGGGCCCTTAGAGATGTCAGCCACCAAGTTTCACCGTGCTCGGTATCGCTTACCCCATAATATGTATCCTTGAATAACCTCGTTAGATGGGACTCAATCTTAGTGGAGATTGGTGCAATGTGACCAACCTTGGTATTCATCACTAGCCATGCTCCATACGTTGCTCCATTTGAGGTACTACCGTCAGCATAGAGGCCGTGCACGCTACTATTTCTCCATTCTGTGAAAACCCCATGAATTAGCCAGTACAATGATCAGTAACTGAAAATGACAAGTGATCGAGCATACGGGTTGAAAATGAATATTTAGTAAAGTAATCAGAGAACTGGGAGAAGTACGCATCACTTGGCGTGTTGTTGAATGTCCAGGTTGCATCTTGAACAACAATCTGCTTCGAAATGGCGACCTTGCTTGGTAATGGTGCGGTCTGGATCTCACTAGATGTTAGATGCGTCCAGAGATCACTATTTGGACGAAACAACGTTCGGAACTCCTGCAAGTTGCGAAGGTAAGGTGTGGTTTCATTGTGATAGGCTAAACGACTGAACGTGTGCAAACCTGTCTCGCCATCGCGTAGGAACCAGTACTGTTGAAACACTTGGCCCGTCGGAGTGTACGTGTCACTCAAAATCATGCCGGCATATTTGGTTCCAGTTGAATCTGTACCCTGGACTACCTCCATGCTTGGAGATGTGGCACCAGCTGTGTAGAAGCCCGAAGGGATACAGTAACAGTCAAGATAGGGCCCTATCCCGGTGGATCCAGACTGAGCACCCAGTAAGTCCTGGCCATCCAGCGTGAGATCGACGATCTGGCCGACGTTCTTCTTCAGAACAGCCGTGAAGCGATCATTGGTGAGAGTGATGTACGTCTGGTTTTCTACGACGTGTAGCGCCGCGGCAATAGCAGTCCCCGCCGTCAAGGCCGTCAATAACGAAGCCAGCATTTAGGGCGTTTGGGGTTGAGAATTCTCTTTGATGGTTTTTTAAACAAAGTTGTCGTTGTGAATTGCAACCTGAGGTTTATCAAGGATCCCAGTTTGTCGGGAAATCAATGCCCCGAATTAGCCGACTGCGGATGGAACCAAAGAGCAGTTCCATTTCAGTAAATTTTCGATTTGAGCACGGATTTTGAGATCCTCCAATGGAGTAGAGCTCTATTAATCATACTAAAGCATCGGAGCTTAAAATGGCGAAAATTCGGTCGCATCAACCCCACCGGGGGAAGATTTTCAATGGGGAAGTCGGGGATGCGGGGATTTGACGGAGAACGGAGAAATTGCTCGGTCATTGCTCGCCCGAGATTGCCTTTAAAGGAGACATTCTTATTAAAAGTCTACGTTGGTCGTCAAACATATACGAGGAATGGGCGAGGAATAAGTAATAGAAATCTAGCGGGTACAACAAGGTACAGGACGACTTGTGGATAAACACATTCTCATACTTTCTGAATTGACAAAAATCCGCCCTTTTTTCAATCTAGCCGGATCAAGCTGACCAAATCAGCTCGAAAATCTTCTGCAAGCAAGATGCACTTTGACAATCTTCCGATCCTGATCAACACGGCGTCATTTGGCAGGGCCGATATCGTCTGGACAATATGTCTTGGAGTTTGGATGATATACGGATAAGAGGAACAGGGACCGATTGCAAGATGTTCATATAAGGGAAGGGAGGGATGTCCCTATAGAAGTTCCAAAGGACGGGACTTCCTGTGATAGCTTCCACTAGTTTTATTGATTGATTCTTCACCAGATATATTTCTTTCGTTCCAGCTGCGATGACTTGATGGCGAAACCACGGGAGAAAAGATCTCTATTAAATAACCATCCTAGGAGAGACAAGGTCTGCCTGTCAACTACCTTGGCACCCAAAGAGCCGTGACCAATAGCGCTTTGAGCGAAGAACCATTCTCTTGATTAAGCCCTACATCCAGTTGGAGCCGCTCCAACAGAGTTGGGGTATACAGGTGTCTGTGTTCTATCCTCGCACTCGCAGAAATTGGTTTCCAAGGGAACGTTTGAGCACGCACTCGCCGGTGCGGTTGCACAGTAAGTGTTAGTTGATACTGAGGTTGTCATGCCTGCTGGACAGGAACTTGAGGGCATGCAGAAAGTGTCGGCAGTGGATGCGTCTGGGAGGATTGTCATGCTATACCATTGATCTTTGGCACAGGAGCATGAAACAGCTATAGACATACCCGGTACATTAGCTTCTTTGTCTACGTGCTGGGTTTAATCTGATGGACTACAGACTAAGGGGGAAACTGAACAAGGAAGACGAAGAGGAATGACTCACCACTGATAATAGTCGACTGTCCTCCCGCTAAGGTACCTTCATACAAGGTTGTGGTAGTCCAAGGAATCGCCCCATATGAGCACTCGGTTGTGATCCAGGATGCATCAAGCGGGAAACAGGTCGACATCTCCATGCAATGACCTGGGTGCCAAACTGAAGGGAAATATCCCTCTGAGCACTGGATCGGGGGCTCTGGTCTAGCGCAGTAAGATGTAGGAGTTCCCATCGTACAATCTTTCGTGTAAACAGCGGTCTGCCCGTCCGAACAGCTGAGCGATGCAGCCTTGGTGATTGTCGCCAGTGGCGCGGCTGTTGTCCCTGCAGCAGTCTGCTGGGGGAATGCTACGGCAGCAGTGAAGAAGAAAGAGAACAGAGCGATGACTCGAATAGGATCCATTTTTTTTAGCCTTTAGACAAGAGCGAAAGAAGCTATCAGGGGTTGTGAAGAATTGGAAGAGGTGCTTTTTGTCACTTTGAGAACCCGAGTCCAGGGTCAAACTTGGGTTTTATACCACTGCAGCAGGTCTCACTGCGACGGGTCTCGCAACAACAACGCGTTAGTCAAATGTAGGACAATCAAAGTTCGAATAGAATCCTCTTCCACATACGTGTGCCCAGCATTAGTGGGGGCGGTCTCTGAAAGCTCCAAAGAGACAAAGGGCTCAGCTCATAACGTCACTTCATGTAACCTTGGGGATTTTTGGTCCAAAAAAATCATTGGACACCTTGCTCTTCTATTTGGTTTCCCCTCGAGAAACAAGAATCAAGAAACACGGGAGGGTTTAAAAATAGTGTGCCCAGCGAGGCCCTCGGAAAACTTCCAACCCAAAGCCCCCCGCCCGTAGCGTCGGGCAGCCCACTCTTCGTATTCATGTTGAGGTGACTTGGACAATATTTGTTACGCCGACATTTGAAGTTCTCCATTTAGTTGCTGTTTGTAAATTTTAGATGGCTCCCTACTACGGCATCTTGTTTTCCCGTCTCAGATATGGCCCTATTGGCGATCTCTTTGACGTCGTGTCCCATTGATCTTATCGAATTTTCACACAGACATTGTATTGCCTTACTGCCTACACGGCTAGTGTAAGCTGATTGCTTTGGATGAGGAGATGGTGAGACATTTCTCGGGAAAAGGAATTGGGGTGAAACAATTGGCGAATGTTTCAATAGCGGCTGGGAATCAGATCTGCACAACCCTTAGATAGGACCTTGACGATAGTGTTATGACCAGGGAAGTCAAAGAGGAGGCTACTCCGTCCACTATAATCAAAGAATACACCGATGAGATATACCCTAATATTAGCTACAGCTGCTCCGTCGTCCCTCACTTTATTCATTGCGGGTGTGCATCTCAAGGCAGCACCTGAGTAGCCCGATAATGATGTAGCACATCTTAAGATAGAGAGTGACGCATCTTACTCGTCCTGTGATGGTCTGGAGGTCCAGGAAGAGAATGTCGTAGACTCCAGGTATGTTTCACCCCTGTCATGTTTTTTCTGCATACCTCTAGATGATAATGATGCTCACTCCGCTTCTGCTTGACCTTTGCTCTTGTGCTCTAGTATAGCCTGAACTATTGGGCCATAGCTCGCTTACTCCATTTGAAATAGGTCGCGTTTTTCGCTTGACACCGCCTCTCCATTCATAATGCCTACACCAGCCCTTTGCGTTTGTACAAAATAGGCCCACTCAATTTTGTTGAACTCTGTCAATGATTTGCTGATTGTCGTCTTGAGGCCACTAAATCATGCTGGAAATTCTCTTTTCCCGTGGCCTGCCAATTAATTCACCACATCTTTGGCCTTCTGATTCGTGAATCTACTTGTTGCCGCGAGCTTTTTTTACGCCGTCCCATATTTAGGCAGAACTCAGTTAGGCCAGGAAGTTTGGAGAATCGGTTGTCGCTACTCCCGCATCCCACTTACCACGATATGGTAATCACTCATCTTACTCCTCCAAGCGGCCCAGGTATTCATAGACCAGCTTAGCCTTGAGCGTCTCGCCGCCTTTGCGAACCTCGATCTGCCGGATCTAGCAATGCTCGCTGTTGAGCTGCTCAAACCCACCAGCCCGGTGGGTAACGCCATTGATGTCGAGGTGTTCTGTAGTCATGAGGATGGCCCTGGTGGTACCCTGCTCCCAGCCGTCGGCGAGCCATGTTGATGGAAGATAAGGTAGGGTTGACTCCGGTTGTGCGGCCGGCGACCTTGCCAAAGAGAGGGTGGTTGGCGTGTCTGGTCTAGTAATTGAGAAGGCGGTTCTCGGTGGAGCCTGGAAGGCCATATTCACACCTGGAGTCGATGGTGCGGTGCATCAGACCAACCTCGTCAACATATTGCTTGATGGTCAAAGGGATT